AACGATTCAATTTTGGAAAGAGCTAGCTATGCAAGTTTCTATCGTTTTAAACTTTACAAAAGAAGGCTAAACCAAGACAGAAAAAAGAAGAAGGTTAGGCTTTAAATGATACCCCTATTTAGCGACATTTTTGGTGGATGATTCGGAGATGTATCACCTAGCTAACCTAGAGAAGGAAGGAAGAATAGTCTTAGCCCCAACAAACTGATTCATTACTACTCACCATGAGGGCACCGTCTTGTACAAAACAACGATAGTTGACCCTTTATCTTCTTCTATCAGATAGACTTCGTAAAATGTCCCCAACTTATTTCTATAATTTGATAGCAATGCATTAAGATAAACATATATTAGGAAGATTGAGAAAAGTCTCTGTCACACATAAATATTATTAGTTTTAAAAAAATATGTTGTTCTGATCGGTGTTCAATAGCATGTATTGGTATATTGACACAATAAGCGTGCAAGACTATTTTCATAATCTTTTTACACCAATTGCAATGATTTCCTTATCAATTTCACTAAGATTTCCATCAATAATCGATCATATATCTTCATTGTTTCTTTAAGATGTCATACCTTAAAATGTAGTAGCATAACAATGAAATTCAAGATAGTGATCCAAAGAAAAAAAATAAAGAAACAAGCCACATGATTACTATCTTTTGGTTCTAACACGTCACACATAAAAAAGGAGGAGGAGGTAAAATCGTTCTCCATGCCACTAGACTTTTCAAAGGATTTTAAATGCAAAAATTATAGTTAAGAATTTTGTGAATAATTTAGGGTGGTTCTAATATATTTTTTCTTTTGGAATTATTATTATGGGAAAAGGTAGAAGTACCTCCCTAGACTATGACCGAAATCTCAGGGACACATTTTAACTGAACTAAGGTCCTATTACCCCCAGAACTCATTTTTTTGGTAATTTTGTACATCTTTTTGGCTTACGTGGCATCCAAATTTATCTCATGTACCTCAACTGCGTGGAGTCACGGGGTGTGCCATATAAGCCAAAAGGTGTACAATATTATATATAAAATGAGTTCGGGGGTAATAAGACCTTAGTTTAGTTAAGGTGTGTCTCTGGGATTTCGGTCATAGTCTAGGGGTACTTGTGCCTTCTCCGTATTATTATTACTTAGTAGAAATGATAAATTAAAAAAAAAAAAAAACAGGAAAAAGAACAAAAAGACAAAAAAAAGCCTCTTCACACTTAATTGCCTATCCTTTTTAGGGGTGTGCATCAGTCGATTCGGTTTGGTTTTATGTATTATCGATTCGATTTATCGATTTTAAATACGCTAAATCAATAACGAATCAATAAGATATTTTTTTATCGATTTTCGGTTTATTGATTTTGGTCCTTAACGATTCAGTTTTCGATTTAACCAAAAAGGAAAGGAAAAATTACAAGAATATACTATTTAAGAACTTAATTAACAATATATGTATATACTTCTTTTTATTTACAAAAAAGTTAGGTTTTTAATTACAAACATGACAAAATATTTAATTTTCGTTTTTTTAATTTATATATTTTATTTTTCGATTTATTTCTTTTTTGGGGGGGATTATGTGCTAAATTTATGGGATTGATAATTACTGTTTACTTTTTAGTTTCCAACCATAATTAAACTCTTTTATATTATTTTTTTGCCTATATATTGAATTTTTGATTTTTTTTAAAAATATATTACTATCCGGTTTATTTCCTTTTTTTTTTTGGGGGGGGGGGGGGTTATGTGCTAAATTTATGGGATTGATAATTATTGTTTACTTTTTGTCTCTCCAATCATAATTCCTAATTATACTCTTTTATATTATTATTTTTTTGCTCATATATTGATTTTTCTCTCTCTTAATATTTTATTCAATCAAATCAATCATTAATTGTAGCCTTCTCTCACCTCTTTAATATTGTTTTCATACAAATATCATTTTCCTTTATTATGACCAAAATTTTTTAAAAAAATTGAAATTTTGTAAGTTATTTACATTATTTTTTTTGACAAAATATATTAATTTGTTATGGTATGACTTAAATAACCATTTGAATCTAGAAAGTTTAATAAAGAAATTAAAAACTTGCATATTATATAGATTTCGTATAACTTTGATGTTAAGTCTTACATAATATTATAAAAATCACAGTTTTCATTGATTAAAATTTACAACTATTTCATAACCATTTACATATATAAATTTGTGCATAAAGAGACAAGTTAATATTAAAAACATGCAAACAAGAATGTGATATCATTCGATACACCAATAATACGATTCATCGTACCAACATAAACCTAAAAGTTTTAATTACATAATGTTTTAAGTAAAAAAAAAACACTGCTATTAAGCCTGATGCACAAATTTGGGACAAGCTTCTTGTTATGCCCGGTGTACCACATTTACTAAAAGTGACTTTCATTCTCTTGCATTTTCCTTCGTTGAGTCCCCTCTTACGATCATTATTTGGTGTTCGCGTCATATATCACTCCTTCAATAATGTAATCCACGAGCTTGCCTGTTGTTAGATTAAAAAATAATTAGCTAAATTATTAAATAAGTATTACATCTATAACATGATACAAATTAAAATATATAAGAAATTAAGCAATACATACATAATAAGAATGGTATTTTCACTGTAATCAAATTAGATAGATTGGTATATATAATATTATTATCTATATAAAAATTGTAATCATGTTGGTATACAAAATGATTTTACGAACGAAATTAGTTTTCTGATTTTTTTATTGTTTGGGTATGAAGTATACCAACACAAAACAATAAGTATTTTAACCAGCTTAATAATTATTTAAATTATTGTCTATAAACATCCCAAAAGACACTATCAACTACACCCATTTATGTACCAAAAAAATATCACGAAAGTTGGTGTTTATATACAACCTAAAATTCACGATTTATGATGTTTATTAAAAACATAATATACACTATCAATTACACCAAATCATCTAAACCAAGTAAACTATCAATTACACCTAATATTATATCGAAAATTATTAATGGAATTTAAAGTTTAGATACGAATTAAAATAGACCATCATTTTCATCAATTCATTTACCAAAAAGATACCAGTAATTTGTTGTCTATAAACAACCCAAAACACACTATCAACCATACCAATAGATGTACCCAAAAATTATCACAAAAGTTGTGGTTTATATACGAACTAAAATCTAACAATTACATAAAAAAAAATTCAACGAATTCTGATTCTTATTACAAACATAATATACAATACCAACTACACCAACTAAACTATCAATTAGACCTAATATGTACCAAGAAACCCTACATATTAAAAAATATCAGCAATTTTTGTCTATATACAGTCAAAACGCACAATCAAGCACACCAATAAATGTATCCAAAATTTATCACGAAAGTTGTGGTCTATATACGAACTAAAATATAACAATTACATCAAAAAATTCAACGAATTCGGGTTAATATTACAAACATAATATACAATACCAACACCAAATGACCTACACCAACTAAACTATCAATTAGACCTAATATGTAGCAAAAAAACCCCCCACATATAACCACATCAAATACCAAAAAAAAAAATCACAAATTTGGTATTTAACAACAACGTAATATACACTATCAATTATACAACTCAACCCATAAAAGAGATTTTTTAAAGGAACGATCTTAAATGCACCATCATATTCAATCCTAATATAACAAGATTTCGAAGTAAAATTAAATAACTAAACACCTAATTTTATTTTTAACACAAAAACATATAACAAGATTACTAGTGATGATCACAAAAAATATACATGTTCGCATCGTTTGTCGTGTTGAATTAGAATTGAAAAACTATTTGTATCCATAATTGAACAATCGAGTAATGGGGAGAAAGAGAGTTTTAGTTTGGTTTAAAAACCTTTTTTTATCAGAGATAATATATAACCAATCTGAGTAAATCGTGGAATGTAAAAGAATTGGATAAAATCAGGGAATGGGAAGAAAAACGTGGTTGATTATTATATAGTACTTTAAAAAGAATATTAATTCCTATTTTTGAAAAAAAAAACTATTGTTATTTTGTTGAAAAAATAAACTATTGCTATATATTGGTTATTAAGGTACTTAATTTGTATACTTAAGTTTTTTACCCAAAAGAAAATGCTTATAAAACAAACATATGATTTCTCTAATAAATTTGACATGACAAGACAATAATGCAACTTTACAAAAACTCATAAAATAGAAATAATAATAACAAACATGAAAATAACTATACATGTGTATAACACAAAGGGAAATCAAGAGGAATATGATTCTTACTTTAGGTTTTGACGATTTGTATAATGTGAAGTTGTGAACTCAAAGTCACAGTGAAATATGAATTGATGGCTAAACGACAAAGACATAACTATTAAGATATTGAGATTAATATTTACTAATATGTATGCATATGTAAAAGTAGTAGATTACTATAGTCTTAACTCTTAATGGGTTATCGATTTACCCAATAAGCCAATATTGAAAACCAATACCGAATTGATAACCCAATATTATTTTTTTATAAAACCATTAAGAAACCGTTAACCCAATAACCCAATAGCAATAAACCAATAACACTTTTTTCGATTCGATTTTTGCATACCCCTAATCCTTTTAGGTTGAGAATCATCAAATGCATATGAATTACTCCATTAAGCTGTCAACATTATACTTTTTACTCAATTTAATTAACTTTCAAAGCTAAATTGTATAACATTAATTTGATAAAAAAATTAGATATTCAAAATTATATTATATAAAAAATTAAATTATTCAAAATTATTATTTTTATATTAATATAATAAAAAAATACATGTTAAAACGATAATTTAAGAACATATTATTTTACTCTAAAAATAAATCGATGAAATAGTTTTAATATATATAATTAAAAAATAAATCACATGAGTCATGAGAACAATTTATTTTTACTTTTACTTTTAAAAAAACACTCAAATTCCCAAAAAGCCAATTTTCGACTTTCACCACCACAATCAAGAACTCGCAGCAGTAACCCAAATCCCAATTTCTCCAAAGAACTCAAATTCCCAGAAAAAAAGATGTAATCTTTCTTCTCTTCTTCATATGGGGTTTTAATTTTTTTTCATTATTTTGTTTAGATCTCTGTATTGATATGAAAAATGGTCTATTTTGAGTCTATGGATGCAAAAATGAATCATATAGTTGATTTTAACTAGTTTAGCATTAAGGGGTGATTTTTTTTTTTACTGTAATAAATCTATGTTTCTTGTTATAGTTGTGTTGTATTTGCAAAGATTTCTGAGTTTCATTATTTTTTTTTGCAGAGAACACAATGAAAGCTGTGAAGGGTCATCAAGAAGAGGAAGAAGAGGAGGAAGATGAGATTAGTATTATTAAGAAAGATGCCACACCTTCTAGTAGTAATACCAAAGGTCTGTTAAGTTTTATTTGTTTTTTTTTCCTGATTTTTGTAGTTGAAAGATTGGATTTTTATTGTTGAAGATATAAGTTGAGCTGGATTTTGAGGTGTAAAAATGAAAAATACTGAATCTTGTTTTGTGGATGTATTATTGTGGAAGAAACAGATGGAAAAAGTAATGAGAAGGCTAATGCACTAAGGTCTAAACATTCAGTGACTGAGCAGCGTCGAAGGAGCAAGATCAATGAGAGGTTGGTTAATCCGTAAATTCTGTTTGAACTTATGGTTAATTGAAGTTTTAGCTTTTCCTATGAGTTTGTGAGGACTTTAGGTCTTTGACGTTGATTGAGTGGAGTTCTGGTATATAATGGTGTGATACATGGACAAAGACTGTAAATGTGAAGTGATTATTTAACAGAACTTGCAACTAGCTTGACATTGACTGTCTGAAGAAATAAGCAGAAGCCGGTTTCAGCGCTAAATAGCTTAAGTTTTTTCCGTCATAGCTGAAGAATTTTGTTTTGGAATGAAATGAGCCTGAACGCAGCAGAATGATTATAGAGGGTTTAATTACCGAACCAATTAGTCTGGAATTGTGGGATTGAGGTGTAGATTGATTGATTAAGTCAATTACTTTCAGCCAAGAGTAGTTGCTGATTGAGTTTGAGAAGAAATTATAGTAAAATAAATATTTGGGAGGCTTGAGAAGAAAATTACATCAGGCTCTAAGTTCAGAGATTGATTAGCAGTCTAGTATTTAATGTACTCGAGATAATAACAATCAAGTGTAAGTTTGTCGTTCTTTAATAAATTTGAGAAAATAGGCAGTGTGACCAGCCATTGTTCTGTTAAACGTCGGATGATAAATGTGATTTGGCTTGTGTTGGTGGATTCCCAACAACAAAGTTGCACCAACTTATGATAGCTAACTATGCCTTGATTGAGTAAGGAGTGATTAAAAATGTTTTGTTATGGTGAAAGCTGGAAACCAAAAGGAATAAATGGGAAATTGATTTAGAGGAATGATTGCACATATTATCCGTTGTATCTATCACTGCAATGCTTTCATTATCTTCTTGGGTTGATTCAGTTTTATATGTCAGAATATTCACTTAGTTCAAAATATACTTGTTTCTAAAGGCTAGTAGTCAATGTTTTATATGAAGTTCTAAAGTATGAATCTCCAAATGAACCTACATGCTTATTCTTCAAATGCTGTCCCACACTCCTAACTTGCTAAAGTAATTCAGTTCTGGAAAGCGCTACTCTCTTTTGTGTTTCAGCTGACAGTATATCGGCAATCCTCCTGATTTTGTGGATTCATATATTTATTGTGTGGATTAGTCCTTCTGCGGTATCTCTTGCTTTTATTTGTTTGTTTGTTATGATTTCCAAATGTCCTCCTTTTCCACGTCATCGATTGTTTTAAACTAATTGTTTGTGTTGCAAAGTCTCAGTGATTCTTATATGGCACTTTCAAGAAAAGGAAATGAAAACCTCATTTCAATGTATTTAGAAGTATGAATCTTGTAAATAATTTCCAAGTATCTTACTTATGAGTGTGCTTGGTATGACTGAAGTCAGTTTTGCAGAAAAATGTTTTCCATTAGGATGTCATTTTTTTTTTTGAGAATGGTAAAGTTGTATTCATCAGCAATGAGGGTATGCTGGCAACCAAACAAAAAAATTCCAAGGCGAAGTAGTCATGATTACAAATAGCCTAGGAAATCTACTAACTGATTTACATCATCTATACCCTCTTCTTTACACCAAAAATATAGAGTATTAATGCAGTTTTCTTTAACTTTCTGCATTGGGTTAGTAATATTCTTAAAGCACCTATTGTTTCTTTCCTTCCAAATTGACCACCATATGCAAGATGGAACTAGATTCCACCATTTTTTCTGTGTTTTACTTCCCCCTCTTCTCATCCAACAGTTTAATAGGTCAGCAGTATGCTCAGGCACCACCCAAGGATCTTGAATAATGCTTTGAAACAGATACCATATCTGGGCAGTCACTCTACAGTGAAGGAACAAATGATTGTTTGTTTCCTCCTTCTCATGGCAAAAGAAGCACCTAGAAACAATCTGAAATCCTCTTTTTTTCAGTCTCTCCTGAGTCAGACATGCTCTTCTGCACACTAACCATGTGAAACACTTTATCTTGGTTGGGGTGTTGGATTTCCAGATTTGTTTCCAAGGTCCAGCAATCTCCCCCGGCTGTGTTGCCAGGTCTCTTTTGTACATTCTTCCAACAGAGAATTCCCCATCCCTATCATGTTTCCATCTGATTGCATCAGGATTAGTGTTGAGTCCCGGAAAATCTTCCAACCTCTGCAGTAAATTGGCTACTCTATCCACCTCCCAGTCATTTAAGAGCCTCCTAAGGGTTATATTCCACCCTTGTTGAGACCACATCTCAGCAATAGATGCTCCAGGGTTGTCACAAAAAGAGTACAAATCTGCAAAGTCCTCCATGAGGGAGTTCTGTCCTATCCACTTGTCTTTCCAAAAAAGGATCCTAGTCCCTCACCCACCTTGTAGCATATGTTCCTCGTTAGTTTTGGCCACAAATTTCTGATAGACCTCCAAACTGAGACCCCATAGGTGCTGGTCACAGTGTTGGATGTCCATGAATCAGTTTGTCCATACTTGCTAACAATAACATCCTTCCACAGAGCTTGCCCCTCTTTACCAAACCTCCATAGCCATTTTGACAGTAAACACCTATTTTGCAGACCTAGATTCTTAATGCCAAGACCTCCTGATTTCTTGCTTAGTTGGGCAGTTTGCCATTTGACCAAGTGAATGCCCTTTCCTTCCTTGTTGCCCAGCCAAAGAAAATCTCTCCTTAGTTTATCCAATCTGTCTTCCACCTTAGCAGGTAGGGGGAAGAGAGACATAACGTAAGTAGGGAGAGCATCTAAGACAGAATTGATCATTGTTATTCTTCCTCCCAGAGATAGGTATTGTGTCTTCCAGGTGGCTAATTTTTTCTCAGTCTTCTCCACAATTCCATCCCATATTACTAATTCTTTGTGGTTGTTACCCAATGGCATCCCTAGATATGTAGTTGGGAGATTTTCCATCTTACAACTCAAAATATTTGCTAAACACTGGATGTTAGCTACGTCCTTGACTTGAAACATGCTGCTTTTTCTCCAGTTCACAGAAAGCCCTGACACTGCCTCAAAGATTACTAATATTATTCTGATGAAACACACCTGCTCAGCCTTGGCCTCACAGAAGATCACAGTATCATCTGCATACAGTAATTGGCAAATTTGTAGATCTTCCTCAGCTTGGTTACCCACTTTGAACCCTTTTAACCATTTCTTCTGAGTGGCCACCCTTATCATACTATTGAGTCCTTCCATAGCTAGAATAAAGAGGAAAGGAGAGAGAGGATCACCCTGCCTCAACCCCCTTTCTGAGGGAAAAAAACCAGCAGGTTCTCCATTAATCAATATAGAGAACCTGACAGTTTTAATGCAAAATCCTATCCACTTCAGCCATTTCTCTCCAAACCCCATTTGTCTCAGGATGTTAATAAGGAAATCCCAGTTCATATGATCATAGGCTTTCTCAATATCAAGCTTACACATGATTCCTGGGGTTTCACCTTTAATCCTTGAATCTACACATTCACTAGCTATTAGAGCTGCATCTAGGATCTGTCTGCCCTGTATGAAGGCCATTTGATGTTTGTTGACTAGCTTGCTGATTACTTTTTTCACTCTTTCTGCCAGAAGCTTGGCAAAAATTTTATAGACTCCACCAATAAGACTTATTGGTCTAAAGTCTCTAAGTTCAGTTGCCCCTGGCTTCTTTGGAATAAGGGCCACATAGGTGGCATTAAGGCTCCTCTCAAACTCTTGTCTTTCGTGAAAGTGGTTTACTGCATTCATAAAATCAAACTTAAGCACCTCCCAAAAACTCTGAAAAAAACACATGGGGAAGCCATCAGGGCCAGGTGCCTTGTCACTGGCACATGACTTGATGCACTTCAAAACTTCAGCCTCCTCAAAGTGAGTTTGCAACCAATCTCTTTCTTCCTCAGTAATAGTTTCCAAGCCTTGCAACTTAAATTCCGGTCTCCACTGTTCAGTCTCTGTGTACAACTTTTGATAAAAGTTGATGATTTCTCCTTTAATATCTTCTGGATCTGAGATAGAGTTTCCTTCCACCACCAAAGTGTCAATAGAATTAAATCTTTTGTGAGCTGTTGCAACCCTATGGAAAATTTTTGTGTTTTTATCACCTTTTTTAAGCCATTGTATTCGAGATCTTTGTCTCCACGCTATTTCTTCTTGTTTGGCAACCTCCTCAAATTCCATGGCTAGATGAACCTTTTGGAGTAGTTCATCCTCTGAGAGTAATCTCAGCTCCTGCGTCTTTTCCATCTCTGCTAACTGTTGGAGGATTTCCTCCTTTTTACGTTTCCAATCATTTCTATGTGTCATTCTCCATTCTTTCAATTTTTGCTTCAACATCTTTAGTTTAACAGCTAAGATGTAAGAACCTGTGCCATTTATATTGAAAGACAACCACCATTCCTTAATCTTATCAGCAAAACCGTCCACCCTCAGCCACCATTGCTCAAATTTGAAATAGGACTTATTCAAATTCCGTTCCCCACAATCAAGCATGATGGGGTTATGATCAGAACCTATTCTGGGCAGCAAGTTTTGTTTGATCCGAGTGAAAGATTCATCCCATTGAGATGAATATAAAAACCTATCAATTCTGGAAGCTGAGCTATGGCCATCTCCTCTTCTCCAAGTGAAGGATCCCCCCAAAAGCGGGGGGTCCACGAATTCCATCGCATTTATCCATTCCGTGAACTCCTGCATGTCCCCTGTTATTCTGTGTCCTTCTGATCTTTCATTTGGGTACCTTGTGACATTAAAGTCACCACAAGATATCCACGGGCCACTGCATACCTCCTTGATGATGCTCAACTCTTGCCACAACTCTCTTCTAGACACAGTATCACAGGAAGCATACACTGCACTAAGGAACCAAGTAAGAACTTGGTTGATGCCATCAAATTTTATTGTTAGACTCTGGTTGGTAGTTGACACGACTTCCCCTCTCCAATATCTCTTGTCCCACATTACAACTATCCCCCCACTTCTACCCGTTGCATTCAGATGACACTCCCCCATCCACCTGTTCTGCCACAACTGCCTAAAAACATGAGTTTCCTTTTCTGTCAGTTTCGTCTCTACTAACACATATATATCTGCCCCCCATTGTTGTATTATTCTCCTCACTAACCTCCTCTTATATTCACAATTTACCCCCCTCACATTCTAGCTGAAAATTTTCAGCTTCATTGATAACTGGCTGATGTTGTCCTCCCTCTACTCCTTGGCTCACCTTCTTTAAATTTAACATGGAATTCCAGGTTCTTAATCTCTTTTGGAGTGAGTTTCTTACCACTGGTGGATGCAATAGATGCTGCCTTTTGTGTTAATTCACCCCTTTTTTGATCAATTCTTAAAAAAAGATCAAAGGCCACCTTATCGCAGCCTTCAAAGGCAGCCCCAAACAATTGGCTGAGCTTTAGGACATTTGACTGGACCCAAAGAGAAGCTTTATCTTCAATTTCTTGCTCCGAGAGGGAATCATTGATTTGGAGAGGCAGTGGTTCTTCGAAGTTCGTCAATTGCCCAACTCCTTCATCACCTCGAGGTCCCGCTTCCCTATCAGAATAATTAAGACTTTCCCCTCCCCCATATTCCTCAATAATAGCCACAGGTCTGTTCTCCCCCTCCATTGAACCATCCCCTCTCTCTTTAGCACATTCTAGGGGTCCAGGAGAGAGGCTTTCCAGCATGCCAAGTTCTTCCTCAGAGAGACATGGTCTCGGTGAAGGCGTAGCCTCTTGCCCGAGAATATCATCGATGAAAGGCTCTGCTTCAGGAGTTTTTGAAGTGTGGAGACATTGGACTTCCTTCATTCCTGACTCTTTATTATTTTTTAAATGGCCCAAAAGGCCCAACAGGCCCAACTGCTCTTTAATTAAATCAGGCCCCATCTTTTGAATTAGGGCAACCACGTGCCCTTCAGTCAAAACCGCGTGGTCCTCTTTTCTTTTTGAAATAAAAGTCTCCTGCAAGCCTTTGTCCGCATTGTACTTTCCATTATCCAATGGGTAATTGGTCTGAGAGGTCCCCATCAAGCTTGATTCACCTCGAAGGGGTTGTTTCCTTGCTTCTCGGTGTTCGAGGACTTTATCACTGCTGGGCCTGAACCTCGCCGGAGCTTCACACCATACTGGCAAGGTGAACGTGAACTCGCCGTCGTCGACCTCAACTGTTGTCGGTATCTCTTCCATAGGTCCTCTGACTCTAATCCGAGCCCATCTCAAGTGGTTTCGAAGTTGGGTTTCCTCTTCTGTCTCCAGCCACCCGCCACACTGGTCTCCTATGTCTTTCATTACTTCATCCGACCATAGTTGAAGAGGGAGCCCTAAGATGCGAATCCAAAACCAATCAAATTTCTTTTGCATCGGAATGGCCCCTGTCGTAGGGGACCACCATTCTAACTCCATGCAGTGATTATTTCTCATCCATCTTCCTGCTAGGACATTTTCAGCATCTCGTCTTGATTGAAATTCGAACAGAAACTGGATCCCATTCAAATCGAAAATTTGGATGTTGAAAATGCCCTGCCAATTCTGATGAACCCATTTTCGAAGGTCATTGCGAGTTGGGATCTCGTCACAGCCAGGAAAGCATCCCACCAGACTTCTTCTCAGCGGATCTGTATCATCCTCGTTGTTGTTCTTCTCCAAAGACTGTAATGAATAGTTTGCCGACCATCTATTCCTAAGGATTGCATCCTTGTAACTCCCCTTTCCTTTGTCCCCTTTTGTACTTGTTCCCCCTGTATTACCATTCAATTTCTGTACCTGTTTGGTATCATTAATGAAAGGCTCAATTTTTTGCAATACATTGGTCCACCCTTCATTAAATGCGTTCTCCGGAAGAATAATCACAGATCTCTCCTTTCCATTAACTGTAATAACAGACAGAAACCTCCCAAACGTATTGAACTTTAGATTGCAATAAATATGTGTAGTCCTATCTCTGCATTTCCAAGCTTTAAAGGATTTTCCTTTGATATCTGAAGCCTCCTGAAATCTTTCACACAGCCAAAAAAGAGCAGCTCTGCTAAGCTTCATCCTGCGCATATATAATCTTGCATCCTCCACCCATTCAAACCAGGTTCCTGAAGGGAGATGTGACTTTGTCAAATCATAAGACTTTCCCCCAAGTCGGAAATAGATCCTATCAGCCATCTAAAAGAAAGAAGATGTGTGTCGTTTTAAAAAGGGAAAAGAAAGGATTAGGTCTCCGGTGAAGGAAGTTCACCGGAGGTGGTGTAGCTCAGGGCCAGAAGGGTCCCTAAGCTTTTACCTAGGGAAACGTGCCTGGGAGCAATTTTAAAATTCAAAAGACCGACTTATATAGAAAACTTAACTCCATTAGGATGTCATTTTGTGGTGTTTGGTTACCAGAAAATGTTTTCCATTTACCATAGGAAAGGGAAAATGTTTCTTCAACTTTCAACTTCATGTTACTTGCTTCAACTAACACTAAAACATTATTATTGATCTTTTCTATTAAAAAATTTCATTTGAACAATCACTAATTTGCTAAAGTTATTATTGATGTTTAGTATATACTTTTCAGAGAATATTTTTCACTCACCAACCACACAACAAAAAACATAATATTTTCTATAAGAATATTTTTCCATGAGAATGACTTCCATCATACCAAGTACATTTGTAGTCTTTTGTAATTATTGACTTCTTATTGGCTTACTTTTATTTTTTAATTCCTTGAAGGATAAACATGTTGAGATCTTAAGAGTGTCAAATAATCTATTAAACTACAGTTGTTTAGAACAAAAGTCATGAAATATAACCGTTGTTGCTCGAACTCTTCAAAAATGCAGTTGTGTGCATGTTGGATCCTCCAAAAGTAGTGCAGTTTTGGATGATTTTACATGGGTGGGACATCATTTTCGGAGAGTCTGAGCAACTTAGCATATAACAGTAGGTTATTACGATACTTTTGAGGTTTAGTCGATATGTTAATCTAAGTATAGTGGAACTGGGGAAGCATCTGGATGGAATTTTGATGAGATCTTTGAGTTTTTGGGTGTGGCTGCATATTGTATAGGCTGCATCAGATAACATGTTAAACTCCATCTACAGAAATGACATGAAATTTGAGTGAAGCTTCTGGCTAATGCGTGATTTTAGTGTGTGTGAAAGAGAGAGAAGATCAGTCGTATCTTCCTCAGGTCAATAAATGGAGCTGAGGTTATTATTAAAACCGCTAGTAGAAAACTGAGATAACTAGTTATAACATGAAAGGACGAATTTAAGTGAAAATTATTTTTTGAAACAAGTGTGTAGAAAGCATTTACCTAGGTTTCAATTTTTTGCAAAATAGGAGGATACAGAAAAATCTCTAGTCACACCTTGTCACCCTATCCTACAAGTTTCCAGCTGAAATAGTATATTGGGTCTTAAATAAGTTGTGTACAATGGCTGAAAGGAGCTGAGAAAAGCTTTAGGATTCAAAGCATAGATCAAACTATCAAAGAAGAATATAAAAATAAATAAAATAAAGAAATAGATCAAAGAAGAGAATAGGGGGTTTAGACTCCAGTGATATTTATGGTATTTGTGGGAAGGTTCTAAGGTTTAAGCAATGAAATGAGATGGTTTTCGAGCCGCATAATGATACTCATATTTGCAGAGAAGGAAAGCCTAGGAAGTTCTCTTAGAACTTAAAACTCTGTAAAAATCAAAACTAATATTTACAAAAAGCATCTAAAGAAGTTACAGAAAATTCTGATAACTGATGAGCTCCATTATTACATAGTAAATACTTAACAGGATACTAATTTTCCTATTCCTCCGGGAATCGCTAAACAGTGCGACTAAGTTAGTTGTTGATGTCAAGTTACTAACTCTATTCCCGGAGAAGTAAATTTCTTAAATAACCGGTCAAGCTACTCATGAAAATGGAATAGTTTCCGTTGAAGTCTTTAAGTTGAACACTTCTTTCCTATGGGGTTTCCTCTTCTTACTTAATGTGGTTTGGAAATGAAGCGTAGAATGACTATATTGATCTTAGGTATTTGAAGATTATTTGCTCAAATCTATCTAAAATGCTTGAGAAATTCAGTATTGTTCTAAAGCTTATTTGGGTAATCTAGATTTCAGATATTGAGAGATCTGATACCCCATACCGATCAAAAGCGAGACACTGCGTCATTCTTGTTGGAGGTACATTCTATTAGTTGAAAACCAGTTTACCCTTTGCTTGATTTGTTCTTTTTTCTTTTAAGTTTTGATCTCTTGGTGATAGTTGATATTTGTATGCAGGTAATTCAGTACGTACAGTATTTACAGGAGAAGGTACAGAAGTATGAAGGATCATATCAGCCTTGGAGCTCAGAGCCTACAAAGCTTATGCCATGGGTAAATTCCTCTAGCTAGTTTCGTGACATATCAATTTTCTTATCAAAGGTTTTTAGTTGTGAACTTTGGGTTGCATTTTCAAGCTCTCTGTAAGAAAGACTTATTCTTCTTGAATTTGGGGTTTGCCTTCTGGGTCGAGCTCGTCGCACCGGGCTTGCCTAGTGCGGGTTACCTCTCCTATGTGGTTTGCGAGCTATTGCATAGGAGTCGGGGTTTTACCCTGTGCGCACCCAAAGGGTAGCGGCTGCGGGTTTCCCTTGTCATAAAAAAAAAAGAAAGACTTATTCTTCTTACATAGAACACTCATGCTTCAGGTTATTATATGATAATCAACTTACAAAGTGGAGATTAATGTGGAAAGTCTTGCTTATATTGCTAGCTAATCCAATATACTAAACATCATAAACTTACTGAATAATGCATAGGCTACCGATATTGCTGCATAAATAAAGGATACATCTTACCTTACTCTTTTTCATTAGAGTGCTGCATTTTTCGCACCGACACTGCAAATCATTCTTGAGTGTGGCCAAAATGGGGAGAGAAAAGCAGATGGTAAGAAACACTGAAAGCTGTGACCTCTTAGTCTCCAGTGTCCATATTGATTTCTTCCTAATATTCTCTGTCCATCTCTCTCTCTTACACACACACTCACACACATGCGTGATGCACAAAAACATAAACACCACCCTGAGATGAACATTGATGTGCACGTATTTCACATTATACTTGTATACAGATAGATCCATGATTAGGCTATGTCTGTGCTTTCATTTTGTGGCCCATTCTTTTTGTTGTGTATCTGTTCATTGCTACTTCCGTGAATGTATGCATGGCTGTGCTTGCTCCTGATTTTCTGGATTTACACTCAAGTAAGATCAATTTTGACTTTGTTCTTCATATGAACTTGATTATTGTTTTTTTTTCCTAATAAGATAAGTAAATTAACCAAGTAAAAAGCTCCAACTGGATACTCAAAAACTATACCAACGCGTTGCTGCTGCAGTTACATGTGTATAAAGTCTAGCATTTCCAGTGCTGTCAAAATCATATACATCATTAATTCTACAAAAAAAATGCACCTATATTTAAAAAAAAAATCTGCAGTTTTCTTTCCTTCAAAGCACCTGTAGTTCCTTTTAACTACAATGTCCATAATATGCATACTGGGACTCTCCTTCATAGTGTCCTCTCTGTTTCTCCGTAATCTGTCCTCCCCAAAATTGTGTGGTTTCCTTCAGGGTTCTCAATGTAGCATCTGTTGCACAAGTGGAAGCCCCCTGCTAATCATCTAGAGTCCAAAAGGCTTCTTTTGTAGCAATCGATCTGAAACATGGAACTTTTGGTGGTACAGATAACTTTTTGCGGTACTTCATCTTCCATGGCCATCTGTCGTTGTCAGTAATTTATAACAACATCCCACTGTGAACCTGCCATCCTTCCTTGCTTTCCACCATAGTTTGTCTGGTTTCTGGGTTAACTCCTTGATGTTTTTTGTGTTTCCAAAAATTTGAGTGACCCTTTGTCTTTTAGTCTTGAGAATATCTTCTAAGCCGTATATTCCATCTGCCAGTCCTGTTTCTGGCAGCTGTACTTCAGTATTTACAGCAATGCGATACAAATCAAGGGATTTAACTCCATGAATTGTATTCCTTCCCAGCGTCTTTTAGTCCTGAGAATATCTTCTAAACCGTATATTCCATCTATTGCCAGTCCTGCTTCTGGCAGCTGTACTTCAGTATTTACAGCAATGCATTACAAAGGATTTAACTCCATGAAATGTGTTCCTTCCCAGCCATATCTCTTTCCATAGTCTAGTTTCTGTCACTTCTCATTCAATAAGATTAGTTTTAGCTTCATTATTTATTTGTATTGTGTCTTTACTCCTGTAAGATTATAATAGGTCCCCTCTTGTTCCATTTTCTTCCCTTCTCTGAAGAGTTCAAGTCCACAGGTACAGTTTGGCAATGATTTTTCTGATAAATGTGATTTGGGCAATGAAAAGTCCATAGGTGCAACTTAGGCTATGACTTGTGTCTCTTCTTGTTCCAAGCAGTAACAGTGGTATGACTGAATATGTTCATGAGGAAGCTGTTTTTGTTTGTAGTTAAAAGTTCTTTTTATATGGTCCAGAGAAACAGTCATTGGCGCATGCAAAGTTTACCAGCACAGCCACATGCCTTGAAGAATGGTAGTGGTCCAGAATCAACATACCTGGGAAGGTTTGATGAAAATCTCGCAACTGTTACTTCTACAATGCAACCAAATCAGCAGAATCCAATTGAATCTCATACTAGCAGGGATGTATCATTTAAAGCAATTGATCAACAAAATGAACTAGCTAACAAGTCAATCACAACACCCATTCCTCTTCAGGCCAGTATGCCGATGCCAGTGCCAAACAATAGTGCTTTCTCAGAGCCTCAACTCAGACCAGTGTCTGATCAATGTCCTAACACAATTGATGCTCTGAATCACGACGAGGATGAGGAAATAGATGGAGGCAGAATCAGCCTTTCAAGTTCCTACTCGCAGGGGTGAGTAATTATCTAACTTTTACAGTTGGGAATGTATAGAGTTAATCAAAATGCGGTCTCTCCATGTCTTATTTGCTCACTTTTGATTCTCTTCAATTGTTAGTAATCTCTGTTTCTTGTTTCTTTTATGTGGGACATGCTGTTAATATGGATATTCAGTTGTAGCATCCTCTGCAATATCCTCAGTTTCTTGTGGATGTCTTTTTATTATGTTAAGCTTGTCCAACTCTCATCACTCATCTGCAACTTTTACGAACTTGTAAATTCTACATTGTTTGGCTAGTGAACAAACCACTAGGCTGAAAGTACTGTGTGTGTGTGTGTGAAAATTGTGGCGGCCTTAAACTTATTCGACTACTTGGTAAAGATAGTTGAGGGAAAATAACACAGATTAATGTGAGAAGCAGAAATATAAAGAGCAGGAAAGTTAATGACACGGCTATGTTTCTATACTGGTTCGGAACCAATGTGGTATCCTTGTCCAGTCCCCTTGGTTGCAAGGAGCTTCTCTTTACCACTTGCTATTTTGTTTACACAACGTGTGGTTTTGAATTCCTGCACCACCAACGATTAACAGCTGGTTTTCATGTTCTAGCTCACCATCGAACAACTTCTTTTGGTTTTGTAGAACTATCTTTGACATAACCAGATCTCTCTATGTGTTTCTCTCTTTTCTTTTATCACTGTAAATCTACAATTGTTTGTGAAATGCAGAGCTTTGAGAAGAATAAGGAAGGTCTTGAGAGGAATGTAAGATATGTAACTCCCTCATTGCTGACCCTATTTTTCCTCCAATTTGAATCATCTTAGTTGTTGAGTCTTCATAGTTGATTTCCATAAAAATTGACCAAACTTTGCGGGTGACGATTTTGATTGAGTATTCAAGACTCTTTTCCTTGTTTGTCTTGACATCCCGGATCCTTTGCTGGACTGGATGAGATTGTGTATAGGTACATTTATCACAATAGGCTGTGAGAGAGAGATTTCAGTTTTGGCAGCCCAAGATATTTCGCTCAAGATCCTTTTATTTGATTGGAATCTTAAGAGATTCTCCTTAGATGTAGGTCTTCTTTTCCAGATTATTTGGGATACAATGTCTTCCACTTCGATTGATCTTGTGTGATTGAATCTTTCCATGTACCAACGTTCTGGATGTCTTCTTATGGTCTTGACTGATCTTGTGTGATTGAGTCCTTCCTTTTATCAAAGAATCTTCTTTTGGACTTTGACAAGTCTTGTGTAATTGAGGCTTTCCTTTGATGGACTTCTCTATCAGTACTCTGGAGGTTCTCCCTTTTTTGTAGCTCATCAAATCTTCCTGATATGCAGGCCTTATGGTGATAGCCACCTTGCTTGTATGCTTGGTTCCTTTTGGGTTGTTTGTCTTAAATGGAGTATTTGTGCCTCATTTTCTTCCTTCTTGCCACATAAATAATATAGTCAGTAGTTGATTACTTTGTCATTGTCAAAATCTAGACTTAACATAAGCAAGTTACCCTGTCCTGTCCTGGGAGGCAAATACTTGAGTTCGGGGACCTTACCGGTACATCATAATGTTCCTATTTAGTTTTGAGAAGATGCATTTCATGCTGCATGTTTACTTGAACCAATTCAACAAGTTGTTTTCTTCTTGTGTTTCATATGTTCAATCGCATTTCAAATTATGGCATATTGAGTTCAGCATATTGCCAAAAGTACGGTTCATTCTCATCTTTGTTATTGAGAAATGAACCCAGTAAAGCTGTAGTGGAGAATGATATCTTAAGTAAGAACCAAGTGTGTGAATTTATACATACATATCTATTTTATATAAAGGTGGCTTTCGGGCTTAGCTTGTGTGCATCTCGTGTAGAATACCGGCTACCTCCCACCCTTCCTTCTTTTTGCATTTCTACTTTCATATGCATGTAGAACAGATGTAGTCAGTTATCTATTATCAATGTTTCATCCAGGGTTGTTACAGGACTTGTGATATCTCTGGATTGGCTTGCCTTGATGTCAACATTATATTTCTACTGATCATTGATTTGGTCTAATCAGGTTTCTAACTTCGTTGTCGCAAGCGCTGCAGAGTACCGGTCTAGATCTTTCAAAGGCTACTATCTCAGTGCAGATTGATTTTGGGAAGCGTGCAAACCAAGCAATGACCTCAGGACCATCTATTGCGAAGGTATGAATCTTTTCCAACTTGTTTCAAACGAGAAGCAAATATGTTCGAGACAATGAACTGCACCCACTCACCTATCGTCTTCCTTGAGGCGCATGAGCATCCTAGATTAATCCTTTAGCGCTTCACCTACTCTCCACTGTACACTTAACTATTCATTTGCATTTAACTCTAGGATGACGAGAATCCTACTCTCTCTGGTCATCAACATACGGATCATTTCAGAGAGGCAAGCAATGATGAAGATTTGAACCAAGCTCAAAAGAGGCTGAAGATATAGATATTACAATAGCTTGGTCATTCCCAGCTAAATCAACTTAGTTTTGTGTTACCTTATGCTTCAATAGAAGTTTATATGTATATCCCATTTGTTTTTTCGTCCCCAAATCATGTTCATAGAAATGCATCCTTTTTTCTTCTCTTCCCTTTTCATTTTGATGTTTTTTTTTCTTCTTCGTAGGGGTGATTTCATCTTCCTTGTGTTTGGTTTAATCTCGCGATATTCAGATTTACCAAGAGGTTAATAATTGATATCTAGAACAGTATGCTGCAGATCTCTTTTTTTCGACTTCACCTTTATTTTATAGGGTAAAAGCTATATGCAAAATAGACACAATGTCCTTCATAAGGAACATTATTGTATTAGAGAACTTGCAGGAAGAGTCATTTTGCACATTATCTGTTAATTTGCAGGGAATTACGCCTAGATTTCGTCTCATGAGCAAATTTTCAAGGTCAAAAGTCAAAACTCGTATTTCCTGCCTATATGGCAAGCAGGCTACTCACCTCCAAGGACATTCTTGTAAATCACCTGTTAAACTGCAAGTAATAAAGTTCATATGAAATATGATAATGATGATGATGATGGAGAAAAAAGTCAAAAAGGACATTAAGAGAGAAAATGATGAATTACCTAACAGAGTTGATGATGAAAGTGACATTCTGTATGAGACCTCAGAATTTATTACAATTAAAGGAACATAAAGAGGGAGGAATAGACTAGATACACAGCATAAAGTAACTTGCTCCGTTTTAATTTGTTTTTTTTTAAAAAATCTCGTTCTATTTTTGTCAAAAAAAATTCACATGATATGTTTGAAATTACAATAATACAGAACATTTTGGTACATTCTACATATCTTTAATTTAAAGTTATGAGATTCAAAAGTTCTCTTTATTTTTTTAAACTTCATATCAAATCAAAATTTGACAAACGTATTGAAAAATCGATATACGTAAGAGTTGTGGTAGGTGAAAGTCCTAACGGTTATAGTTCCTCCATACGAATTTGTAAGATATTACTCTAATTGTGAGATGTTTCAAGAAAGTTCATACTATTTTCAGGAGAGTCTCGAAACAACGATAAAGGATTTTTATTGTTGAATGATTATATTGAAGGATAGAACATAATATAAGGAAAACAAGGGGTTAATTGAGTCTACATTTCACTGCCTCCACTTTTTAAGATCATAACAAACTCAAAGAGCCCTCCTTCTAAACCTATCACCAATAACATGTCATTCATTCCTAAGAATATCAACATGTAACTAACAAAGGATGATGAAATGATGTAACTGAAAACTCTACAAAAAGAAACAAAAAGGACTTAGAATTTACAACAGAGAAGGCTTTGTCTCCAACCCTTATAATGTCTCCGTTCTGCCTTCGCCATTCTTACTGGACTACTGTTCCATTCAGATTGTAAGCTGTTAAGATACGATAAACACAAGGAAAATGTTAGTAAAAACCGACAGCTACTGGAAGACGATGGGAAAAAGGAGTGTAGTATAAGATGTCGCAAACAATTACACTGGGAAGGCGAAGGATCTGGCACTGGTTGTGCTGCTATCTGACCGAAGAGATATGTTACCCGAATGTGTTATATGCCCTGAGTAAGAAATCAAACCAGATGCAGGTCCAAAACTTGCCTCTCCATTTGCAAAATGACCATGCACACCGAGGGGGATACTACCACAGTTCTTCTCCTCGAGATTAGCAACATTTGGGGGGTCGGCGTGAATACTGCTATTGCAGGAGTCTACACTATTGGCAAAATGAACTTGAGTAGCAGCTGAAAAGCTGTCAGAACTCCCATCCTTTTGACCGGAGACGGCCTCTAATTTATGGGATTGTTCAGGCAAGTGTTTGTCACTTTTCGCCACGCTGCTACTTAAAGCCAGCTCAGTCAAGTTGAAGTCGCAAGTAATAGCTCCAGATTCCGACTTGCTATTGTTAGAGAAGTTGCTACCTGGTCCATTGTTGTTTGTTCCATCAGCTGCCGAGACTGTGTTTTGGCTGTTGAAAGCTACTACAAAAGTAGGTATCTGCAATTCAAGAGAAATTACATTCGCAATCAAGTTTTACCACGGGAATGTATCTAAAAAACATGCACATAGAGTTATTAACCATATGGTATCTTAGGTGAATTCATAAATATAACATAATCAAACCTGATTAGCCTGCTGTGCTGATTGATCAGCATCAGAGTTCGATTCCTTAAAATTCTGAATGTCGGATTCTTTTTCTGATATGTTTGTAGCTTTTGCCGTTGTAGTATCTTTTGATCCAAAAATCTTCATCACATCCAGAGAAGAATCCTTGTCAGCATCTTTGCTCATATTATCTTCCAAGAAGGGGTTTATACCATTTGGACCAAGTGATTTAGTATCCTCATCTTCTTTAGTTGTATGATGATCAACAGAAATTTTGACGGCATTTTCGACTGATGAATCTTTGGACTCACCGGATGAGACCAATTCACTGTCAACACCTTCCCTTGTGTTTCTAGGCTGATGTTCGTCAACAGCTAGAGAAATAGACGAGTCAGGTTGATGATATTTCCTGCTTTCAGTCACAATTTTATCCATGAGAGGTACACCCTCATCCATGCATATGTCTTTCATAATGTTATAGTTATTCTCTTTGTAGCAAATTGTCGATTCAGGCAATTTGAATTCCAGGACACCCTTATCGGTGTATAAATGAGTGTTTGTACCAAACAACTCTGAAAGAGAGGTAAATTGTGCACTAGAGACCACAGTTTCCTTTTCTTTATCGTCGAAGAAATTCACAATTATAGGGTCCTCAAATTTGGGAATACTCCAGGGGTGATCTCTATCTGCTGTATCACATGCAAAAGGATTTCCATTTCTCTTGCAAGATGTTAAATTAGACAGGGCTTCGTTCGGATCATCTTTCAGAAGTGAAGCTCTAATTTCATGTTTGTTATTTCTTGAAATATCTTCGAAAAATACAGAGTCATCAAGTTCCTGAACATTCCAAAATTCGCTCCTCTCCTTTTCACACGCCAAAGAGTCTTTAGTGCCATCACGACCATTTGAATCAAGTAGATCTTTCGTTGGCAAGACTAAAGACTTAGAGTCCTTGCAACCATTTGAGTGAGTTAACATTTCATCCGGATTTTCCATCATCATAGCCTTCTATTTAGCGTGTTAAGTCACTGTCATTGCATTCAAATGTTTCAGAATCATGCACAACTGAGACAAACAGATGATCGATTATCACAGACGAGTTTAACTTCTCAATGCAAGAACCAAGTTGAGAGATAATATATATATATCGAGTCGTGTTTAGATTCCATAACTAGACAAAGGATTTGAACAAAGTCGATGGATGAAACGATAATAAAAAAACATGCATCAGATTAATCCACTAATGAGGTTGAAACCTACGAAAGATGTATCTTAGCATCAGCGGCAAATTGCAGAAATAAGAGATTAGTACTCACAAGCTTTCAAATAGTACATCAGTGGATCAAATCTTGAGGAATACACACAAGCAGTGAGGTAGATACAGCTCAGAAACCTGCGACAACAGAATTTACAAATATATTTAGGAGGAATTGGCCGTGAATGATTGTAACTTTAGCAACATATTCGAGCTAAATAAATGAAGCAGCAGAAAACAACATAGCATAACAGGGCAAGCCTTCTAGTCATTATAACGAGAAGGCAGCGGCCAAAAATGCACTATAAATCAATCTAACACTGCCTCAATCCCAGACTAATTAGTACGGACGGATATATGAATCCTCTATAACCAACCATACCACTCTATAGCGCCACCACCACCAACAACAACAACAACATACACTATCAAACAAATCTCTGACCAAATACAATAGGAAGCCCAAAAAAGGAACTAGAATAGCAGTGAACCAGTTTCAAATACGACTGACTATCCATATCAACGGGTAGATCTAATGCATTTTGCGCGCGATAAACATGAGGAACTGTTGAAAATAGTTCAGATCATCTAACATGAGTTCAAGAACAAATCGACTGATTTTCAGTTACAAAGGATTCACACAAACTAAAAATAATCTTTTTTTAAAAAAACCCAACAAAAGTGCATGATGATCTCAATTAAATACAACAACATACTTAACGTAATCTCATAAGTGGGGTCTGGAGAGGCTGTGTGTATGCAGACCTTAGAGAGATTGTTTATCTCAATCAAATATGCCAGAAAATAACAAAAAAAAAAGAAGAAAAAAAGCAAGTTGCCTCACTTCCTGTACAAAAAACTACTTTTTTAATGCTTAATAGCCTAAATCATGCTGCTTGACTCTCCAAAACAGTTGTTGCCCTCGTGTCAGATCCTTCACCATCTCATCGACTTTTTTTAAGAGTCCGAGCAACATAGACATTAGATCCTAACTTTGTCAATAGATGATGAAAAAGACACATTTCACTTTGAACTTTTTGTACAAAGCTTTTTTTTTTTTAACGGCTAAAACACAAATCCCATCTTCTAAGTCAAATGACCATTCCCCACCATTTATGTTTTGTCCTTTAGTTCTATTAAATAAATTAGTATTAATCACTTCTAACTAGATCTAATCCTAATTAGTAGCAATAATAATATTTTAATTCACCCCCTCAAAAAAATTAATAAAAAATTACTACTAGAAAACAATGAAAAAGGCCTTACATTCTGGCAGGTTCTTATCAGATCCCAAGAAAATTCACAATCTCATTACCAATAAATAATCTAGTTACTAGTATTTTAATTTCTTTAGTCATATGATTAACCATGTTCACAATATCAAGAAATAAAAATCAAAGAACATAACAAGAAAAAAACAATCATAGTTTATATTATTCAGACTTTTCAAAAATATTATCATACCTTAGAGAAAATGCACTATTTTAGATGATCTGACACGAGATTTTGAGGAAAGATAAATGGAGAAGGAAAAGGTAAATGAAGATATAAAATCCTAAAAGGTGAAATCAACACAAAAATATAGGGGAGAAATGGCAAGAAAAAGTCAGCCGTTTTAATTAGGAAATAAAAAAACAAAATGAATTGAATGTGAAAGAAATATAATTTTTAACTGGAATAACTGTTTCACTCGTAATCAGATTTCTCACGTTCCAACCTTGAGACGTAACAAGCAAATCTTGTTGGGAGTGTCTCTTCTGAATATACTTATAATGCGCAATTTAAATTTAATCGAAATTCCAATTTAGACTCCGAACGAGCCAATGTGTTACTTTCTCTCTCTAAATGCAATTAATACTCACTTATTTCCTACACACTCTCTACATGTATATACACGTGTCCTCTGCTTGCACATATTTATGATTATAGAGAGAGGGTCTAAATTTCTAGATATTTTAGTGTAGGGTGTTCATCATTTGAATTAAATTAATTTTATTTGAATTTGGTTTTATAATTTTAAAAATTGATAATATTTTGATTTTTGTTTAAAGAAATCAAAGAAATAATATATACTTTTTGAAAATTTATCGTTATTAGTTAATTGTCATGAAATCAAGTTATAAATTTTAGCATTAATAATTAAGCTATTGTTATTTTATTAATTATTGTTAAAAATTATGGGAACATGCATTTAAAACAGTGCACGAATAATAGTGACTTATAAATGGAGAATTGAACAGAACAGAAAAATAAAAAAAAATATTTTTTTTACAGAGGTAGGTCAACAATATTTAACTATTGGTTATACATAACATATAAATTAAAAAAAAAAAAGTCGCTTACCGGAAAACAGAGTACCGCCGCCGTCCGCCCTGTTGTAAACAGATTACCACCGCCGTCCGCCCTGTTCCGGCGTGTCGTTTGCATAAATCAAATTCTGACTTAGATCCAGAAAATAGTCTTTATCATATATTTATAGTAAGTATAAATAAATTTGGGTGTGGTTTAGAAAATGTTAGAGAATTTTTAGTATTTTTTTAGGTGAAAATGAAATAAGAAAAAAGAAGAATGGAATTGGAAGAGCTGACTTTAATTTTCGTATGGAGGGGAGAAGAGAGGGTCAAAAAAGCTGAAATGGGGACTCACTTATTAAAGTGTATACTTTTTGGGTGAGGGTGGAGCTACAAGGCAAGCTAGTATTAAATTTATCGAGTTTTATAATTTTAGCTCAAATATTATATTTATATTACAATATAATAAATATGTAAATAAAAACTAATTTTGGAATCTTGGTAAGGTTATTTTAAAATTTAGAACTCGTATGAATTTATTTGGTTAAAAATAAGTTATTTTTGTAATTTTCTCCTAATCAAGCCCTACCAAACGAGCTCTTAAAGTTTAAATCTGGCTTTGCCTTTAATTTGAATGTATTTTCATACATAGATAAGTTAAGAAAAAGTTAATCACATCATCCTTCTTCTGATTTTACACATCACTCTCAATAGAAATAAACTTAGAATTTTATGATTTATTTGAAGCTAATATGTATATAATAAAATGAGATGGTTAACTCATCTGCATAATGAATACTTGAGAAACACGTATAAAATTTTGATAATGTATTTAGACATTTAGTTATCATTCATTATATTTTGAGTATTCAAATAAAATTTGTAACAAATTTAAGAAGTTATCGATGAATTCCGTTATTTGTACAACGCTTTTGGTCAGAGAGATTTTATTGCGTCTGTCTAATTCTTTTCTCTCTTACGTTGATAATTTGCCATAAATATATTGTTGTTTTTTTATTTATGGGGTATCCTTTTTCTTGTATTATTATATAGTCAATCTGTACATGTAGGTAATTTATTGATGGTTATTTGGGACCATTTCTATTTCTGTTGTACTGCAAATTTTTCATGATGCCCCCACTTCTTTTCTTCTTTTTCAACTACTACTTATTTAACCACTCAATTATATTTTTTATCTAAATATTCGAATTTTTTTTAGTTACACCTACTTGTCAATGCTCGTGAATTTATAACCAAGTGTTGGAGGGATGACTAATGGAGCGGGGTGAGTCGATTATAGGGAAACTTTGTTTAAATTAGGTGAAAATTTTAATATTCTGTGTGAATGGGTGTTACGTATTGTTTCATAATCTATTGTATTATATTGTATTGTGTTGTTCTGATAAAATTAGTGTCTGGATAGATTGTATAGATCTCCGTCGTTACATAACTAAAAAATAAAATAGAATTATTAAATAATAAGTAAAGAAAAAATGATAAAAAAATATTAAGGTAACAACGCAATCACACCAAATCGATCCTTACATAAAATGTCTCTTTTCATTGTTACCTAACAATGAATTTAAATAATACGGCACAATATAATTTAAATAACAATCAACCCAAACAATGTATTTAAACTAACAATACAATATAGTACAACGGATAACAACCGTCCAAACAAGGTGTAACTCATTTAGTATAACATAATCTAATGTTTTTCATAATGAGGATTCAAGGTTTCATATCTATCTGATTTTCAACTTGTATTTTGAAAATATTAAGCGAATTGTGATTATAATTGTAAACTTGAAGTTGGACCTCTTATTGTGTTGCTTATGCTTATTTTAGGGACAAACAAAAGATAGAAAATTTGTTTAAATTCACATAAATGCGTGTAGATTAATTTTGTTAAAAATATATATTTTTAACTTTCTCTGTCTCTAGCTTTCACTGATTCAACTAATCTAGACGATAACATGAGGTGAGCTTAAATGAAGAAAACAAATATGTATACTAAGTAAGGATTAAATGGAGAAACATTGTTATCAGTACGTAAAAATGTAGATTACATCATCTAATTTATGACTTCAAGATTATTGTCGTTGTCAATGTAAAACACAATGCATGAAAGTACTAGATAGATCGGGACAAGGGGTTCATCTGAATTTTCTTTGACAGAAAATTACACTAAATATATAAAATTAAAATTACTTTTTAGGTATATATAACATATGTTGAATATCTTTTGAAATCGATATTGCTTCAACCTACTCTACAATTACATCTAATCACAAAAAACGTATGGAAGTTGTTGACCTTTAACAACTTCACCAGTAATAAGTAACTTGCTTAAAATGTTCAGAATCAGCGGAAGTCACCTGGCTTGCCAATTTTAATGTTCTGTGCACCTAGGAATTCAATGATCGCGTTCTTCTGCCAGCTCTTGAAACTCCTGCAACGATATTCAAGTATAACAAAATCGTGTTATTCTAAGTAAACGAAAAAGGAAAAAGAGGACGTTAACAATTAAAATGT